AGGCTCACAGTGTTTGCAATAAAAATACCCAATATGCATTGTGAATTCCTGTAAGGTGAGCATTGTGACGACCCGTCCCTAATTTTTCTATGTAATTTCTCCCCGAGTATGTGTATTGACGGTTATGCCCTTAGTGGCGAATGACATGGAAGTGTTTATTTCCTCTTTATTTATTTTATCGTCTTCGTAAATAAATTGTGCACGTTATTACGAGACGTCGTAGATTTTACGAGTGTAGAAATACCTGTTTTGGATATACTTCGATTCCTTTTACTGGAGAAAATCCAAAACCCTATCCTTGGATTCCCTAAGCCTACCCGTGCGCCCCATCCCCCTTTATTATACTCACCAATCAATCTCCTCAATTCACTCTCAAACCAACCAATCCCATCTCTCCCTCATTTCTGTCCACCAATCAGAAAAAAGAGAAAAGGGGACTCTCTCTCTCTTCCTTCTCTCTTTCTCCCGTATACTCTCCCTCTCTGCAAACCCCCTTGAGAGAACCCTATACTTCTCAGATCGAACCTAAAAACTACCCCATTGTACTCATCTCAATCCCACGATCACAACCATGTCCTTGAAACGTGGTTTAGACGAGTTTTGACTCGTTAACTCGGAAGGTCAGAACTCGGGCAAACTGAGTTCGACGTGTTTTCGAACAAGTTAGGATGTTTTGAAGCTTGGGAAGGCTTCTACACAATATTCTAAGGCCATCTTCAACCGATGGCTGGCCAGAGGGCTTGTTTTAGCCCTCTGGCCCTCCAAGATTCTCCAAAATATTAATATTTTAATGAACAGTACATGGCCATATTTGCCTCCGTCTCCAACCGAGGGCCAGAGGGCTCGTTTTAGCCCTTTCACAAAAAACCGTCTCCAACCGAGGACCAAAGGGCCATAGGGCCAAACATAATTTATTATTTAAAAACTATAACTTAAATTCAAATCCAACGGCTAAGTGACGTTGTTTCATATTGTTTAATGTTGTTTCATATTGTTTAATGTTGTTTCATGTTACTTAATTTAATTTAATGTTGTATAATGGCTTAGGAAGTTATAGGAAAAAAATAGAATTTAAAAAAAAAATTGTGAAATAGAAGTTATAGAAAAAAATGGAATTTAAAAAAAATATGAAACAAATTTAGTGAAATAGAAGTTATAGGAAAAAAATGGAATTTAAAAAAAAATATGAAACAAATTTTGTGAAATAGAAGTTATAGGAAAAAAATGGAATTTAAAAAAAAATATGAGATAAATTTTGTGAAATAGAAGTTATATGAAAATTTTTGTAAATAAAAAAAATAATAATGTAAAAAAAAAATCAAATCAAATGCTAGCCGTTTCATTTGAATTTTTAAAAAAAAATCATGTCGGTTATAACCGACAGGTATAACAAAACATTAAAAAAAAAATAGCCGCCCGGGGCTGGCTGGCTGGCGGAAGGCAGTCAGCCCTTTGACCCTTTGAAATTCCGTGGGGCCTTCCCAGATTCCCGAGCCCTCTGGCCTAGACCTCGGTTGGAGACTGTTTTAGGGCTATTTTTGGCCATCTGGCCCTTTGGACCCTTCGGTTAGAGATGGCCTAAGGGTCCTAGGCTTGTTTTGGAAGAAGGTCGATGTGAAATGACTGAGTTTCAAGGAGTTCATTTTTGGATGGAACTTTCGAGGTGTTTTTCGGCAACCTCTGTCCACTTTTTGGATTCCAAACAAGTATAACGCCATTCTACACTTCATTAGCTTCAAATCCATATAAAGTGGGTTAAAAATGTATGAGAAATGAAGAAGTTATGTAAATTTGAAATTTTTCCAGAAATCCGATAAAAATTTAGTTGCAGACGGCGGCGATGGAGAGAATAATCGGAAAAGGTGACGGAATATTCCATCAGAGTTGACAGAATATTCCTGACGGCGTCAGGTAACGCCGTTAATCTTTGTTAGCATTTAACGGAATATTTCGTGGAATAATCCTAACAGCATCGATCACGCTGACGGCACGTGCCTGCGCATGGGGGCGCGTGAGCTATCAAAAAATTATTTTAAAAAATTGGGGATGTTCATGATGTTGAGTAGGTCACGATGGTATATTTAAACCCTAGGTTTAAGCAAACTATGGGGGTTTTATTTAGGTTTGCGTATATGTGCTTTAAGTAATTTGAAATTAGTTATTTCATATATAGGGGAAACGTATCCCAAGGATGTTCTAGGCAAAGCTAGGCTCGAGGGCTATGACCCAGCGACGTACTTGTGAGTGGGCAGTTTATTTATATATCTATACGTATTTATAGTTTCCAGAATTGCATAAATACACCACTTTACGTATATATTGCCAAATAATTGATAACTGCGATATAATTGTGATAAATGTTGTTATATGGTTGAGATATTAATGTCATGACATTCATACATATTTGTACATGCTCATCTTGCTGCACTTGTGTTAGTACTCGCCCCAGGGCCAGGGCCAATCCTTCACGTATATGTTTACATCGCACCGTTCGCTCTCCTTGGATTTAAGTTAGGTGCCAGTCATGTCGGGTAGATTGCATTAGGCAATCTGACTTGTATGTGACCGTGCTCCTGCACCAGCCTTCACGTGATCGTAGTACTAGAGCATATTGATTACACCCAGTCTTGTTCGTGTCAGAAATTATTTGTTCAAACTCGTGTGTCAGCCTAGATGGATGAGCACTTTGCTATACTTGATTATCACATGATTATATTATTGTGGCATTTGATACATCATGACTTGGCATATTTCTGGTTATACTATTATAATGCTGCTGATTTATTGTTTACGTACCTACGTAATATGTTTTAAGGAAACTATACTTGTTTTACGACGAGGGGTTAGTATATTCGAAAATAAAGGATTTCATGTAAGCATTGTTTTGCTGACATACTCAACTTTGTTTTTCGCCCCTCCAGGACCTAGATAGCTGTACTATTTGTGGCACTTGAGGAATCTCGGTAGTTCTGACATTCTCTTATGTTTAGACGTACGAACTTATCATTGTTATGTAATAAGTGTACTTTAGTTACTTTGACTACTCTTTTGTAGTCTCACTGTCTATTACGCTCTGAATAATTGTAGTGGGTTCTTCCCACGATTGCGCACTCTTTCACTATTTAGTATAATTAGTTTCAATTAGTCTTGAAATTATTTACTTTTGACATCACTTACCCTTATGATTACATCACCTCACGGTGATGTCCAACATGCTTCGACCTTCCCAGGTCGGGGTGTGTCAAGCATCCACTGCACAGAACCCAGGTTGTATTAGTTCGTTTCACAGATATAAACTTTTGAAGATCACTAAAGAAGAGCCTGCATAAATTTTGGCAAACAAATTACAAAATCTAATAAAACTTCGACATGCTTCATAAGCCCAAAGACGACAACGTAATTTCTCCATATCCTACAAAACCTCAAAATTGCACATGATTTTATCGAGGAAATAAAAAGTAAATTGTAACAAAGTTTAAACAGAAACCCAAACAAAAGTTAATTGAAACTAAATTGAATCAGAAACCAAATCAGAACCAACAAACCAATGAATTTTTTCGTATCCTACAAAACCAATCAAAACGTAGAAATACATACCTTTATAAAGTACATATAAATTTATGGGTAGTTACTTTTGAATCTCCCACTAAACTCATATTGTGGCGGTAGTTGTGGAGAAAACTGCTCAGAAGGGCAGTTGTTTTCGTCGTCCTCGTTTGAGGCTTTTCTACACATCCTTATTTTATTTTATTTTTTTCAAAAACAAAAATAGTAGCGGAGAAATTTAAGGAGACCATTAGATAGAGGGAGGAAGAAATAACTTCAGGGCTCATCAAATTAGGAGATCATCAGCACGTGCATTTCCTTCTTTCGTCATGTCAGATTTACGAGTATTACCCATACCGCTTATTATTCACCTTTTCTTTTCAATTGTAAATTTTTTTGTTTTAGGGCTTTTACGGCCAAATATTTTTTTATGAAGTCTTGAAACATCAAAGTAGTCTTTTGGCATTCTAGTATTAAAAATAGGAAGGAAAGTCCTAAACATACTTGAACTCAAATTATCTCTCTTAAGTATCTTAAACCCCCCAATTTTTTAGTGTCCTTCCAAGTTAGTCTTAACATTTTTAAGCATTCCAAATAAGTAGCCAACTTATTAAACATGTCACATCTGTTAAGCTCCAGTTAAAAATCTGTAAAATTAAGCAGGGTCTTACTTTGTCTTCAAAATCAATAGAAAGTCATGGAAGCATAACCTCTACCAACTAACCATCATCAAACCCCCATCAAGACATCACCTCCAAACCCATCGCAAAACTAGCAACTCCACCCTCAACTCAAGCCGCCGACATCGAGAAGCAGGTCATGGAGGTTGCTAAAATTGTATGAATTGACATGATGCGACCACCACCATTTTCATTGACATAAAGAAAAACTGAAAGCTTTAAGGGTAGAGAATCGAGGGAATGAGAAAATCATATGAGCAGAAACAAGCACTTTGAAATCCTATCTGAATTTTTACCCTTTTTTTTTTGCTAGGCAATTACCTCCTAATGTAGTTTCAATTTGGGTCCATGTTTGATTCAATTCACTACCCGTTTGATCATTGTTTTATATTATATAATCTATGTTTGAAATTTAGATTTTGAGACAACTAATATTAATGTTGACCATGATATAGTCGGTTGGTAGGGTTTGAATATAATCTATGTTTGAAAACTTAATTGGAACTTAACGAATGTGATATTTTCAATATGTTAGGTACTTATTTAGAATGTTTAAAAAAAATTAAGATCAATTTAAATTAAAAAATTAAAAATTTTTAGATACTTAAAACCTTTTATTTTTTTTCTTCATTTTTATCGTTCTATTTTCCGGAACCAATTCAATTTCCTAGTGGGAACGGGCGAGACTCGGTAAATTAAATTTAATATATTTAAGGCAATTAAAGCGTTAATAATTAAAGCGTTACGGTTATAAACTATATATTATCCTTCTCGAGGACCTTTTTGGGTTTCTTTTGTCCTTCCCATGTTCTCTCTTCTCTTCCCTTTCTGTATTCCTGTTTCCCTCCATTGGCCGGGAAACTTCTTTCGTCGCCGGGTAACCGCTTTGTCTCCGGCGAATAGCATCCTTCCTCCGACGGAAAACCGTTGTCTCCTCCTCTCTGCTTGACTTCCTTCAACCTTTTTTTTGTATTATTTTCGTTGACTCGGTGGCTCGAAGGCTTCGGATCTCTGATTCCGGCCAGAGACGGTGCCGTTTCGGACGTTTGGCGGGAATGTGGATGGCCTGGTTGTCGCTGTAGGCTTGCTTTTGGTCTGCCGTGGCTGGGATCGTGATCTAGGGTTTCGGTTCTCTGATTCGGATTCGGTTTCTGCGGTTGTGTTGTTTTATCCTTTGTGTGTTGCTGTGAACAAAGACGCAGGCGTACAAAAAGAGACTACGGAATGAGATGGTGCGTTTTGCTGGTTAAATTTGTGATTTCAGATCTCGGACATTGCTCTCTTTATTCCGGAATCATTTACATTTGTGGAATTCGTGATCGAATGAATTGCTGGAATGCATCTAGGCGTTCATATTTTGAGGACATCTTCATTGTTTTTTTATATAGAATTTTATAATATTTTAAGTTGTGCTGGTAATTATGCGTTATGTAAAAGTTGCTATTTGGAGAGATTTACATATATAATTATTTTAGATTTTTGTTAACTTTTTGAGGGGTTTGGGTGATGATGTTCATTAATTTGACTGCATGTTACTGCTGAATAACTAATGAATGTGATTTTGCGTTGAACTTTTATTTGGCCGTCTGTTCAACATCGACTTTTAGGAAGGAGTAGTGTTAAATAAAGTAGGTGTATCAGAGGTCTCCACGGTGTTTGGGATGCACTTTTGTTTCTTTTCTGCTGATTTACTTCTCTTTGATCTGCTCACATGTCGAGTCCGTTTGACAAATTTGCACAAATGTACATGCATGAACTGAATTTCATTTTGCATTTCACCTCCCAGACCCTGCTTAAAGCGGGAGCCTTGTGCACTGGGTACGAAAAAATATTCAAGTACATGACCTAGCCCTTTGGTTAACAGGTGGAAGGAAGGCTTTGTTTGTCCAAAGAGGCCAAAACTGGATTAGAAATTCTGAAGCGTACAAGGCTTCAGCGAATGAGACCGGAATCTGCTACCGAGCCTTTAAATCTCATTAATACAATGGCTCGAAGTGGAGGTGATGCTTTAAAATCTTCTGTATCCTGTGGTCTTACATTCCAGGGAGGTGCCCACTCAGTCTCTCTGTTCAGTGGTGCTTCACATGAAAAAGATGTTTTTCCAAAGCGTAGGGTGGATAAGTTCGAAACAAGTGATCTAGAGTGGACTGAGAAAATTCCCGAATGCCCTGTGTACTATCCAGCAATGGAGGAGTTTGAGGATCCTTTGGTTTATTTACAGAAGATAGCTCCAGAAGCTTCAAAATATGGTAAGGAGATTACAAATTTTGTTCACTCAGTTGTTGGTTGGGTTAGGAGAGCTATTACGTCTCCCCCTTGGCAACACATCTAAAAACAGTATCACTTGATTGTTGGTTCAGTTTGGAGTTTTGGTTTCTTTGCCCCCTTTCAACTTCTGTGTTTTAGTGTTGAAATTTCCACAAGAACCAATTGTTCTGCCGTTTATACAAAGTATTTTATTTTCCAATTTAATCGCTCTGTTTTTTTTCCCCTGTTCCCCGCATTTGAATTAGAGCCTCCTTTTTTTGACACACATTGAAATTAAACTGATATGTGATATCATAAATGCTCTTGAAGTACGCACATACACATATTGAGTATATACATCAGGTCTCTTTGTCATTATATGATACTGAATAAATCTATATTTCTCTTCCCTGTTTCATGTAAGATGGTATTTTCTGGCAAAATATCTTGATCATTTTTTTCCCACATAATGGAGTCCCGTCATAGACATTTGATAAATTTGGGGTGGCATATTGACCAACTCTTCCCATTCTAACCTGCAATGATATATTCAGGTATATGCAAGATTGTTTCTCCTTTGAGTACTTCTACTCCAGCTGGGGTTGTATTGATGAGGGAGAAAGCAGGATTCAAGTTCACAACTAGAGTACAACCTCTTCGTCTTGCAGAGTGGGACAATGATGACAAGGTCACCTTTTTCATGAGCGGAAGGTGAGAGCTTCTTCTAATTACAAATATAAAGTAGTACTTTATCAAATCTTCAGGTTTTTGAGTGAGTTTAATGTTACAGAAATTATACATTCCGTGATTTCGAGAAAATGGCGAACAAGGTTTTTGCTCGTAGATATTATAGTACTGGTTCCCTTCCTGCCACGTACTTGGAAAAAGAATTTTGGCAAGAAATTTCTTGTGGAAAGACAGAAACTGTTGAGTATGCTTGTGATGTAGATGGTAGTGCCTTTTCATCTTCTCACAGCGATCCTCTTGGAAATAGCAAGTGGAATTTAAAGGTGTTGATTCTGCCAATCTTTATCTCTGTTTAACTGTTCAGTAGGTGACTGATATATTACGTGGGCGGTTGATGTTCACTTTCTAAAACTGGCACCTCAGTTATACAGGACACACGCGAAAGCACATGTTAGCGTAGTACATCACGCACGGCCAAAACCAACCCTAACCGTAGAAAACCAAGAAGGAACAAGGATGTAGTGGAAAATTTTAAAGACCAGAGACTAAGAGTACTGTTGCAAAGATGCCATTAGGGATGTTATTTTATGATAAAGAGGGTTTCACCTTGTTCAAATAGATGGGTTAGAGAAATTTGGTGCTAATAATGCTCTCTTGTTCTTTATTTTTCTTGTACAGATTAATTAGCATGATCACAAGAAATTTATTATATCTTGAATTACATGACTTGTGCTCTTCTCTTGTATTTCTCTGTTTTTGACCTCTTTTCTCTTACAGTTAAGCCATATATACGACCTTTGATTTGTAATCATTGGTTTGCATATATTCTTAAGAATAATATTCGGTTTGGTTCACTGTATGTGGTGGCATGCACATCAACTGATACCCCCTTTGTCATTTCAGAATCTTTCAAGGTTACCCAAGTCCATTTTGCGTCTTCTAGAAATTGCAATTCCGGTACCAAAACTAGTTCAGTTCACCCGTTTGCATTATTTATAGGCTGTATACCTCTGTTACTTATGTTGGTTTTATAATAGGGTGTAACGGATCCCATGCTATACATTGGAATGCTGTTTAGTATGTTTGCTTGGCACGTGGAGGATCATTATTTGTACAGGTATAAGCCACTGTATATATCACTATTTAATCCCAGCGAAGGCAATGATGTCTTCCCTTTCTTATTCTGAGAGTTATTATCAATTTCTTTTAAAATTTTTTTATGTCACATGGCAGTATTAATTATCATCATTGCGGCGCATCCAAAACCTGGTATGGCATTCCAGGTGAAGCTGCTCTGCAATTTGAAAAGGTTGTTAGGGAGCATGTGTACACGCATGATATCATATCAACTGATGGAGAAGATGGAGCATTTGATGTCCTATTGGGGAAAACAACATTGTTTCCTCCAAATATTTTGTTGGAACATGATGTCCCTGTCTACAAGGCTGTGCAAAAGCCAGGAGAATTTGTTATTACTTTCCCCAGAGCATACCATGCTGGATTCAGTCATGGTAGGCTTTCTATTTGACTTTTGCCCTTCATTTTACTTGCCGTATTTGTCCATGTTGTTTTGCTTGCTTCTCAAACATTAATTTAATGCCTTTTTCTAATGGAAGTATAGGTTTCAACTGTGGCGAGGCAGTCAACTTTGCAATTGGTGATTGGTTCCCTTTAGGTGCTATTGCTAGCCGACGTTATGCGCTGCTTAACAGGATGCCTCTGCTTCCTCATGAAGAACTTCTGTGTAAAGAAGCGATGCTTCTACACACAAGTTTAGAACTTGAAGATTCAGACTATTCATCTGCTGATTTGGTCTCCCATAATAGAATTAAGTTGTCTTTTGTGAGATTGATGCGCTTTCAGCATCGTGCTCGTTGGTCTTTAATGAAGTCAGGGGCATGCACCGCTGTTTTGCCAAACTCCTATGGAACTGTTCTATGCAGCCTATGCAAGCGCGATTGCTATGTAGCTTACAATAATTGCACTTGTTACATGCATCCTGTCTGCCTGCGCCATGGTATGTTTACTATTATATTATGTGAATAATTTTGATGAACTCTAACTACACACCTCAGACTTGTTATGATAATGATTGTACTCGATTGTTCCGCACCTAGTTTAAAATATATACGGATGGTAAAACATCGCCATTGATTTAAAAATGTCTAGTGGTTGCTTATTATGATCTTGTTTCCCATTGCAGATGTAAGGTCTCTTGACTTCTCATGTGGGAGCAGCAATCTTACTCTCTTTTTAAGGGAGGAAATAACAGAACTGGAAGCTGCAGCCAGAAAATGTGAAAAGGACGATAGTATGCTGGAGGCGATAAGGGGGCTAGCGGAAAGTGGAGATGACTTGTATTCTTATCCATTAAATTTATCCCTGAGTGCTGAAGACAATGGATACTCTCCCTATTGTGAGATAAAATTTGAGTTGAACCCTGAACTTACTGGTAGAACTCAGTATAGGTCACATGAGCCAGAAACTGGTTCTCATGGCGGGCCCATGTTGAGATCTGATGCAGATTATTCAAGTCCTGCAGTGTCAGAAGGTTCCCTTTCATGTGCCGCATCAACTCTTTGTTCTCTTTTAGAGCCTCGGGAGAGCTTATCTGCTCCCAATAATGTGAGATATTGTTCATTTCGCTAAATGTGTCTGCCTTCTGTATTCTAATGCATAATGTTGATTCACTAATTTAGTTTGTTCTGCAGGGGTTGTAGGACAATTTTTCTTATTAAAATTTCAATGAATTGAAGTGTAATTGTTGGATTAACTAAAGTGTAATGTTGCGTTCATATGTTTCCTGGCAGGTACAGGGAAATGCTAACTCTTACACAGGGACTCTAAGTTCTAAAAGGCGTTTTGAAGAGTTGGTGCGCGGTGCATATGAGTCTTCTCAATCCTCTCTATCCTATGATGAATACTCTAGTGCACGTCCAGGGAATCTAAACGGATCAGAGGTTAGGCATGTTGTTGATCAAGGCAGTGATGATTCTGATTCAGAGATCTTTAGGGTTAAGCGTCGTTCATCATTGAAGACGGTGGACAAAAGAAGTGTAAATGATGTCTTGTCATCAAATCATTCCGAAAACAAGGTATACTGAAGTCTCCTGTACTTTAGTTTCTGATGTGTGTAAAAAAAGGTCGTACCCAGTGCACAAGGCTCCCGCTTTACGCAGGGTCTGGGAGAGGTGAATGTCGGCTAGCCTTACCCCCATTTATGGAGAGGCTGCTCCCAAGTCTCGAACCCGAGCCTTACCCCCATTTCTGATGCGTGTGATTATTTATAATGATTTTGCTATATCTGTGTGTGGTTTTCATTGAATAGATCATTAGTCCATCACTTAATTTAGAAATTGAAGATTTTATCTGGAGTATATATATATATATTTTTAGATTTCTTTATATTTTCCATTATTTATCAGTGAAATGCTTATAAATTTAATAAAATATTGCACTTATCAATTGGAGAGATGTTGAAATTGGAAGTGAAAATGTTATTCATCAAATACCTGTAATGGACCCAGAAAGGGGAAATCCACCTGTGCATGGGTTCTGATGAGCATCTATTTAATTATTTCTTTGAAGCAATGGAATTTGAAAAATCTGGGCATCCCCGTCCTGTTGCATTTATCACTTTTATTTATATTTATTAATGTCCAGATACAGGCTTTAAATCATTTAGTTGTTTATTTTTTATTCTGCTTGTATATATTTTGCTGCTGTCTGAGTTGTATCTGCAAAAAGCAGGGTTTTAAACGATTGAAGAAACTGCAACCTGACAGAAGATGCGGGCGATCGTCGGTGCCATTAGATTATTGCAGCCCTGGTGAACCAAATGCTAAATTTATTGCAACTAGTAATTACAAAGGAGTTCCAGAGAGTGCTTCTTTGGAGGGCAGGTTCTCCACAGGAAGTAGCGCTCCTACAGGAAGTAACGTTCCCATCTCTATCAAGTTTAAGAAGTTGGCCAATGAAGATGCAGCTAGACAACAGCGAGAACGCCACAGAAAGGATGGATACGAGGTTGAATTGGGAAAGAGCCGGAGGCAACCAACCCCAATGGAGATTGGGGCAAAGCGCCTTAAAGTCAAAGCCCCGTCGTTCCTAGGGTCGGAGAGCAGCAGGTTAAATTAAAGATATTTAGATCACTCTAGGAAGTGCCGAGCATCTGGTGGACCGGCCCTGTAGAGAGAGCAGCAGCGGCATCATAGAACCTGACCTCGCTAACTTGATTATCTCTAACGGGGTTTTAACAACACAGGTAAAGCTAAAGAAGATTGATTTGTGGGAGCAGTGACGGAAAAATTAACCAAGGATAAAGATTTACATTTTTTGTGCAGGCCCTCAAATTGGGGCAGTCTGCATTGTTGGTGATTCTTGAGGTTCTCGGGCCGGGGTATTTTTACCGTCTTTGGCAGGAGAACCTTTCTTCCTGCAAAATAGTAGAGATTGGGTTATTAGTGAATTTCCATGTAAATTTATTTGTTTTTTTTTTACTTTCTTTCTTACAATTGTTAATCCAGTAAGTAGCTAGTTGGTAATTCTTGAACATGTTGATTGGTTCGCTGCTTCCTTTTTACAGGTTCTTTATTCTTATTTGTTGCAATGGGTCCTTGTAAACCTGTGAGTACATGAATAAAATGCAGGGAAATGCGTTGTCATTTTATTTGGCTTCTTGTCTAATCATCTGCCCATTGATATGGGACGATGTGATATTATTTTATAGTTCAAGCATTGTAATCGGATTTCTTTTTCATCATCCAAAGATCATGCAATTTAGAGCTCGTTAAGTCATTTATATGAATTAAACAAATTGATGGTTCACCATAAGTATAAGTATGTTACTTGTACCATATATGTTGCCTTGTTCATCATGCATTTGAATGATTACGTGATTCCAAAATTAAATAGATCTTTTTATACATAGTTTTGATATGATGGAAAAGAGAAAGAACAATTCCGGTCATGATATTTGCATGGTGAAGTGATGTTTTTTTTTAATACATTCGATATTATCTATACTAAGAGCATCTTCAACTCTTGGATTAAAATCTAAAATTTTTAGCTCAGAAAATTTAAGTTTTAACTCAGAAACAACTTTTTTACTCCAATCCTTACTTAAAAACTAAAAGTTTTAGCCCAGAAAATTTAGTTTTTAACTTAAAAAAAGTTTTTCTCCTCCAACCCTTCTGGGTTAAATATTTAGCCCCGAGATTATTAAAGTAACTTTAAAAAAAATTATGTAAACTATCATAATTTAATTTTATGAACATTTTAACCTAAAAATATTTAGATTCCAATAAATATTGAAAAATCACTAAACCGACACCATAAAACTCATGGAATACTACGAAAGAATATGAAACACATAAAATAAATTTTTTTAATTATTTAAGCTGTTGGATTTAAATTTGGACTGTTAAATCTTTTTTTTTGCCGTTAGATTTTGACACACTCCGATCGGAGTTGAGGCATGCTGGTCATCACCCGAAGGTGACGTAACCAAAGTGTGAATGATGTAAAAAATGTGGATAAATTAAAACCGAAACTAGAACTTATTTAAACTACTAAAGTGAGTGCGCAGTAGTGGGTAGAACTCATAAAATACAAATGTTCAAAGCACAGATGACAAATAGTGCAGTCGAAACTAGAAAAGTACTTAGTACACAATTGGAAACAGTTCCTACATTAAATAGAGATATGTCAGAATTGCCGAGTGATCCTCGTGTGCCACAGAGTAGGTCAGCTATCTAGGACTTGGAGGGGGGAAAACAGAAGGGTGAGTGGGCACAAAAATAAAATTTATAAAATCCTTTTATTTTTTGAACATGCTAACCCTTCGCTGTAAAACATGTATAGTTTCTAGAAAACATACTATATATATGTATGAAATCAAATATGAAATCAATAGTAAATCAGGTAGTATGCCACACCACAATATCTCAACAGCAATATAAATCAATATAAATAAAATCAGGTGTTCAATTAATCTATGCTAGCATGCAAATCGGAGTCGCCTAATGCGACCTGTACAACTGACCCAAATGCTCATCAATTTATGCTAGCACACGAGTCGGAGTCGCCTAAAGCGACTTGTACGACATGACTGGGTGTAATAATATATGCTCTAGTGCTACGATCACGCGAAGACTGACGATAATCGCGGTCACCTACGAGTCAGAGTCGCCTAATGTGACTTGTACGACAGGACTAGCACCTACTTGGATCCAAGGCGAGCATGCAGTGCAGGAGGTGAACATACACATGAAGGACTGGCCTTGGCCTCGGGCGAGCACTAACATTGGGGTGCAGCAATGATGAGTAGACTACATGAATATATGCATGCCATAATGATTCAATAATTCCAATCAATAATATAAACTTACCTGAACTTACCTGCGCATCCCGTGCGTATAAAGTTTATATATATATATATATATAAATATATGAAAACAAAATGCCCACCCACTGATACGTCGATGGATCGTAGCCCCCTAACCTCGCTTGTCCTCGTACGTCCTTAGGATAAATCTCCCCTATATGCGAAACAACTAATAATAATTACTTAATTAACACATATACGAAAAAGCTAGGAAAAACTCCCCATAGCTTACTCAAACAAAAGGTTTGAATATACGAAAATGTTCAACTCGAAGTTACGGACCAGCACATGTCAACCACTTGTCGGCCAGAGGCTGGACGTGCCCTCATGTGCCGCCCAACCCATGACCATATGCACCTGGTAGAGACTGACAGAAAACAGGGAATATTTCGTCAAATAGTAACGGAACCTAACGCCGTTACCTAACGTCGTTAGAATATTTTGTCAACTTTGACGGAATATTCTCCGTCTTCTCCGATGATCCTCGCCGTCTGCTGCCGCCAGATTCTAGAAAAAGTGGCCGGTTTCTGGAAAATTTTCAAACTCATATAACTTCTTCATTTCTCAACCATTTTTACTAACTTTATATGGAAATGAAGCTCTTGAGGAGAAGAACAAGATTATACCTTTCAAAAGCCCAAAAAGTGGATGAAAAATGGCCTGAAAAAGCCTCGCAAGTCTTGGCCTAAAACTCGACTCCTTGAAACCGTGCTTCTCGACGTTGTCTTCACTCCAAACTTAGCCTAGGGACTCCAAGGAGTTGTGTGGATGCTCCCACAACCTTCAAAACGTCGAAACCCGACCGGGATCACATTGGAGCAAAGTCATCCCAGTCGAAGCTTCTGAGTTAGCGAGTCAAAACTCAACCACTTCAAGATCGGTTTGTGCGGTTGGGTTCGTGAAAATGAGAGGATCATGATGGTGATATTTTTACATTCGATCTGTGAGTGTTTGATGAAGGTCCTTACAGTTGCAAAGAAGAGGGAAGTATGGGTGAGAGAGAGAAAGAAAGAAGATGAGAGAGAGAGTGACAACTTTTCTGATTGGTGGAAAAGTGAGGGAAGTTGTTTGGTTGGCTAAGAGAATTGAGGAGTGAAAATTGATTGGTGAGGGAGATGGGTACACGGGACCGGTTTTAAAAAGGAAAAGTTAAAAGGTTTTTCAGATTTGGCACAGTAAATCGTACACAAAAATCAGCCTCCTTATCAATAACAGTATTTCCAACATTGATAAATTAACACACGCGTGTACCACTCCACCCGTTGTTAACGTACTTTAACGTAACGTTACTTTTTTGTTACAGATCCGATTCGGGTCTCACTCACGCTCATGTGTTCGTAATAATGAGTACTATTTAATTAAGATAGCGAGAAAAATAATTTAAAGTTGCATAATCACGTCCACATCACTTTGCCAACAAGGGCATATATGTCAATTTACACACTTATGGAGAAATTACATAGAAAATTAGGGTTGGGTCGTCATAACCTACCCCCCCTTAAGAAAATTGTCCCCGAAATTTCAATACTACTAGAAATCAATCAAAGAATAAACGTGGGTACAATTCTTGCATGCGCTCCTCTGTCTCCCAAGTAGCTTCCTCAACTGAGTGGTTTCTCAACAAGACTTTCACCATAAGAATGGTCTTGTTTAAGAGAACTTTGTCTTTCCAGTCAAGAATTGTCACATGTGACGGATCAGAGACGTATCTTCGTAACATCGACACGTGGAAACTATTATGCACCCTTGACAACTTTGGAGGTAGATTAAGTCGGTAAGCACCTTCACCAACTCGCTTAATAATGGCTCGATGTAACGAGAGCTTAGCTTCCCTTTCTTCCCGAATCGTACAATGACTTTCCACGATGATAGCTTTAAGAATACCCAGTCTCTAACCTTGTATACCCTGTCGGTCGAATGTCCGTCGATTATACTATTTTTTCGATCCTGTGTTACTTTCAGGTTAGCCTTTATCACCTGAATATTCTATGTCGTCTCATCCACAATCTCAAGGCCCACAAAACTTTTTCGTCGACTTCAGACCAACACAGTAGGGTACGACATGGTTTCCCATACAGCGCCTTAAAAGGTGACATACCAATGCTGTAATAAAAGTTGTTATTGTAGGCGAATTCTATCAACGGCAAGCGCTTGTGCCATGCGTCTCCAAATTGTAGGACCGAAGATCTCATCATATCCTCCAATGTCTGGATAGTTCTCCCTGACTGCCCATTGGTCTATGGGTGATAGGCGATGTTGTAGAGTAATCTTGATCCTAGAGCTTCTTGGAAAGCCACCCAGAACTTTGAGGTAAATCTGGGGTCCCGGTTATAAATGATACTAACTGAAACACCATGATACTTGACGATTTCAGAGACGAAAAGTTCAACCAACCGACTCAACGAGTAGTTCTCATGAACAGGTAGGAAGTGTGTTGACTTGGTAAGCCGATCTATAATCACCCAGATACTATCATAGCCATTTTGCGTACGAGGCAGCTTGTACATGAAATCCACTGTGATATCTTCCCATTTCCACTCGGGTACCAGAAGTGGCTGTAGTAACCCAAATGGTTTCTTTACCAGAAGTAGCTATAGTAACCCAAATGGTTTCTTTCTTTTCGCCTTGACCTGTTGACAGATTGAACAACGACTCACATACTCTCCAATTTATCTTTTCATTCCAGGCCAATAGTAGAAAGGTCGGATGGTATGATACATCTTGGTACTCCGGGGATGCATTGGAGAAGCTGAAATATGCATTTCATCAAGAATTTATTTCTTCAGTTCATCTACATTCGACACATACATCTGATCGTCTTGCATCAGCATACCATCAGGCCTTCGAATCTTAAGATCTCCCTTTTTACTGTTTAACATTGCATGTCTTAACGCCTGGGATTATGGGTCTTTCATTTGGGCCTCGAGAACACGATCCAACAAAACTAACCTGACCTAAAAGTTAGCAAGTAGAGCTCCATGTTGATCAACTTCTAAAGCTGCTCCAGTAGATCTTAGGCCAGTCAGAAAAGGAACATGACATGCATAGAGAGCATTAAGTTGGCCATGAGATTTCTTGCTGAGAGTATTAGCTACAATATACGCATGACCATGGTGATACTCGATAATGCAGTCATAATCACTAATCAACTTCATCCACCTACGCTGCCAGAGATTAAGTTCTTTCTAAGTGAAGATGTACTTGAGGCTTTTATGAACAGTGAAAATTCGACACGTTTCCCCATAAGATAGTGTTGCCAAAATTTTAAAGCAAAAACGATAGCT